TTTGTACTGAAACTTTAACATTAAGAATTTAGTATTTTTCTTCAAAACAGACCTTAGATATTGATTTATTTTTACATATACTTCCGAATTATTTTTTTTTTATTTACTTAGTGTCAATAAGCACGTGTAATGAATATATTACTTTATTAAAGTAATAATTATGATGGACCAGTTTATGTATTAAGATGGAGACATGTTATCACAATTAAGAATAAAAAAAATCTCACATTCAAACATAATAAATTTCATAATTGATTAAATTTTTTACAAGAATTTGGTTGAGAATATTAAGCAGATATTATTATCTTTTAAATCTTTTAAATATTTACTCGAGTGAATTTTCTAACTGATTATAGAATTCTTTCCAATACTAACTAAAATCGATTTAATAGTGATCTTTGAAAAAATATATTCGATCTAAAATACACCAAAGCTTTTTTATTTTTTAATCGAACTACAGCATTATTTTAACTGAGCACTATCTGCTTGCAACACAATACATAACAATACATAAACCAAATATTTATCACAGAATAAGTTAGGATATACTCGTATGTGTTAAGGAAACTTTGACCCTACCCTGATCTACCCTTCTTATAAACGGTTCTCTTCCAAAACTCGACTAAAATTTTTCTAGCTATTAATTCTGAGGAACTGAACTATGTTCCTGGTACTCGAGTGAACAATCGTTTACAATTCACTAATAACAGACACATTTTAAGTAATGTGTACGAGTATTATCATTAAATAACTTTAAGAACTCTTGAATAATATTGTAACGCAACTGACAAGTCTGTTAGTATCCGCAAGCAAACAAATTCGCCTACTTACTTACAGTAGTACTATTTTCTTTCAATTGTACTACTTATTTTGAGAGAATGAGATCATATCTACATTATTTGTAAATGTTAATTATTTTGTAATGAAAAAAATTATATTTGTATAGAAATATTTTACACGAACTCAGTACGCATCAAAAATTAAAAATAATTAAAAATAATAAAAAAATTTCAATGAATTTTTTAAACAAAATATATAAAATATCTGAATCTATTGGCTTAGCTATAATTTCAACAAGTTAATTTATATATTTAAGTATATTTCTGTATTATATAAATATTTATACATATTTTTATATTACATAAATACTTATAATTATGTTCGTATTGGTGTCGACCTCAATATTTATATTTGAAATTTTTTGCCGGGCTTTAGGTCGTGGTTTTTAATTTTAAATTTTTATATAATAACTTGTATTTTATATAAAATAAATAAAAACAAACTTTGAATTAAATAAAATATCACAAATTTAATTTATGTAATAAATTATTTAATTAACAAATATAAATAATACAATACAAGTTATTATATAAAAATTTAAAATTAAAAACCACGACCTAAAGCACGGCAAAAAATTTCAAATATAAATACTTATATATATAATAAATAATATTTTTGCAATAAAATAACGAAGTACTTTTAAAAAGCTTCTAAAATTTTCCATGACCTAACACAATACCAAAAACATAATAACTTTGAAATAATATTGAATATTTAACAATCACACAAACCCAACGCCAATTATTCTTGGGGAAGAACAAGCGAGTTTGTGTTATTGTCGAATTAATATTTTTTTCTTGAATATATTAAGTACATATAAATTTATTTTATCTATATAAGAGTTAATTTTTTTTAGTTCCAAAAATGTAAACAAAAAATACAGACATATAATTTAGCTATAATAATATTTTATGATACTCGAAACTGCAATGACCTGTTGTTTGAGGAACTTCCAACCTGTTCCCTATTAAGAACGTTACTCAGTGCTTTGAAGTGATCGGCAAATAATAAATAAAAACAAAGCACTAAACTCAAATCCAATTTCTGTTCACTTATCTACACAAAACAAAAAGCAAGAGATACATTTCTACTTCATAACTCTCTCTCTCTCTCTCAATCAGTCTCTTTATCTCTCTCCATCAAACTCTTGAGTTCTCTTTATATTTGAGTTCCCACTTGATTTCATACATTTATCTCTAAGCTTAAACAAGTTTAGCTTTTTTATGCTACAAAACTACATAATTGTTTGGCTGATTTTTTTTTGCGAACTTATTCTTACTTAAATTCTCAAAGTATCTCACGAAAAGATTTAGTTGAAGTGAATCACTTGTGGTATATAAACGATATAATTGATAAAAGGATTACGTCCAGTGAAAAGTCTAAGTAAAATGGTGGCATTAGAATTAGTTTTAATAGCAATTGCATCCTTATTCCTGCTTTATAAATGGCTAACGGCAACTTATAATACGTTTGAGTTACGTGGTGTGCCCTACGAGAAGCCCTATCCGTTAGTGGGCAACTTTGGTGCGGTGGTTCTTAATAAAGAATCAATGAGAAAAAGTTTTATAGAATTTTATAAACGCAATAAATTACAGTAAGTTTAAAAATAAATTTTATTGATTTAAAAATGTTGTAAAGAGATAATTTTTTTATATAGTAAAGTGGTGGGTTTTTATAATTTTCGTACCCCTGCATTTATAATAAATGATCCAGAATTAGTTAAAAAGTTGGCTGTTAAAGATTTTGAGTCTTTTCCAAATCATGCACCATTTTTCAATGCAGATGATGAACCATTATTTGCTGGTATGTTATCAATTATGAAGGATCAACGCTGGAAAGACATGCGTAACACATTGACACCAGTTTTTACTGCAGCAAAGATGCGCAGCATGCTTCCATTGATGAATGAATGCTTCCTTGAGTGCATAAATAATTTAAACAAAAAATTGGAAGGTGGAAGTTGTGAGCTTGAAATGAAACAATTCTTCACAAGACTCACCAATGACATCATAGCAACAACTGCTTTCGGCATTAGTATAAATTCTTATGAGAATCCAAAAAATGAATTTTATGATATTGGACAATCAATCACAAACTTTAAGGGCGCACAGATGCTCAAATTTATGTTATCAAATGTAATGCCTTGGTTGTTAAAAGTGAGTACATTTCTTTTGTATTTAATTAAATAAAATAACAAAAAAAAAAATTATTTCAAAATTACTTCAAATTTGAGTATTTATCATATTGTATTAATTAAGTTTAATAAAAATTAATTAATTTCATTAAAGTTGCTCGGTGTTCGAGTTTTCGATGCACACAAAACGGATTACTTCATGCGTCTCGTCGTTGATTCTATGAAATATCGTGAGGAACATAATATAGTACGACCTGATATGATACAATTGCTGATGGAAGCAAAGAAAGAGTCAACACAGAATTGGTCAGATATAGATATTGTTGCGCAATGTTTTGTATTTTTCTTTGCGGCTTTTGAGAATAATGCAAATCTGATTTGCGCTACATGTCACGAGTTGATGGAAAATCCTGATATACAACAACGTGTATATGAGGAATGTGTTGAAATAAAGGCGGAATTAAAGGAAGAGACATTAAATTATGAGACTACAAATAAAATGAAATACATGGAAATGGTGCTCAATGAAACTTTACGAAGATGGGCTTTTGCTGCTTTTACGGATCGTGTCTGTTCCAAAGATTATAAACTAACTGATGATGATGATAAATTACTGTTCGAATTTAAAGTTGGTGATCGTATATTCTTTCCAATTGGCGGTTTTCAATTGGATGAAAAGTATTTTGAAAATCCTGATGTGTTTGATCCGGAACGTTTTAGTGATGAGAATAAAGGAAACATTGTACCTTTCACAAATATACCCTTTGGCGTTGGACCTAGAATTTGTATAGGTATGTTATCAATAAATACTCGTAGGTTTTATTATACAATTAATATTTATTATCTGTGTAAAAATTATCTTTCGTTTTTATTTATTTACAGGTAATCGATATGCACTTATGCAGGCAAAGGCAATATTATATTACTTAGTTACGAACTACAAATTGGAACGTTCTGAAAAAACGGTCAAAAACGTTTTCGATGAAATGCGCGGTTTTCAAGTGACTCCAAATGGCGGTTTTTGGTTACGTTTTGTGTCACGTACTTAAAATGTCAACCATTTCAACAAGTGATTAAAACTCTATTAATTATAAGTGTTTATTTAAATTGCATAATTGCTGCACCTTTTTAATTATACCATATATAAATAATCGTATATGTGCTTCTTATATACACACATCATTACATATAATACATATAATTAATATATAATATTCTATAGTGAAACTTATACGAAAAAGAATATTTTATTTAATGTGAAAATTTTTATAAATTTTATAAAATAACAAAATTAATAAAAAAAACAAATTAATAAAGAACCGAAAAATTACAAAAACGTGAACATATGAGTTTTATCTAATGTTGACCAAGTTTAATAGTCCACAAGTCACAAGTTTTTACGATAATAAAAAAATAATTTTATATAATAATAATGAAATTAGAAAAAGTACCCACACAAATTATATCAACCACGTCAATTTGTTTTCACATCAAATATGTTAAGTAATTCATTCAATGACTAATGAAAATAGCTTAAAACTAACACTTTACAATGTAAATAATATTCTGATTAGAGGCTGAAATGTAAATTTAGAAACATATACAATGTCAATTACACGGAGAGATGCTAAAGTAGAAGTAAAAACTTATATTTCTGTACGAAATATACCGCATTTACATTATTACAGTAAAAGCCAGAGTTTCACAAAATTGTTAAATTATTTCTTTTTAATATAAATAGATATAAAACTCTAATCAATTATAGCTAAAACATTTATTAATATTGATGTATAAGTTTCACAGAAATCATTAAATGTATCTAATAGATATTCCATTATTGCCATTGCATCCTATCAATGCTGTCTATTATAATGATCTAAGTAACTAAACATTATATTATAAAAGAAGGTTCATAACTATCATGATCGACTATTCGACATTTTTGAAAAACCGGTTTTCGGTTCATTTAAATGTTAAGAGTTTCAAAATAACCGGTTTTTATTGACTTATATCTCATTATTTTTATAGCAAAAGGCCGACCTGAAGTGAAATATATAAAAGATTGGCATGTTGAGATGCGGAGAGGGATATGATATAACATGGGAAACCAAAGGATGATGAGTTGTTAATGGATATTATATCAAGTTGTTTAATTTAGAAACAATTGATGAAATTCAGCTGAAAGAAACCGATTGATAACTCCGTTTATAACATATCGTATTATAAAATAGTATTATAAAATATTAATATATAAAATATGTTACAAGAAGAAAAAAACAATAATATAAAATTGTAAGTGACCACCAATAAGACTGACCACAGTCTTATTGACTAAATGACAGCTATAAAAATTTTATATTAAAGATTGTGAAGATTTTGTGCATGCTTTATGTGGAATAAGTCTCGGTTTTTAATTAATAGAATACAAAAACAAAATTCATCAGTCAACCATAATTTTAATTTGCCTCTGAGAACATAACATCTAAAATTCAGTTAATTGAATGGTTCCAAATAATATTGTAGAACAGCTAGATAAGAAATGGAACAAAATCAAAATGAAGTTGTAGTATGAATACATATTATAATTCGGATCAGTTTTAAAAAGTGTTAGTAGTTTAGCGATAATTATGACCTTAAGGATAAACATCAATAACTATAAATTTTTTAGAGTTGATAGGATCCATATAAACCATCTGAAGTATTATAAATCAGCTTTCATTTTTTATTTTAAGAATAATGTAAGTACAGAAGTAATTTATGGTTATAGTTTTTCTTCATAGACCATAGTAACTTTTTATAAAGAGATTTTTAAAGAGGAGTTTTTAATTATTAAGTATTTTTATATTTTCAAGTAAATTTTTACATTATTTAATTACTTTTCCTACTGATATGTTGTCAAACTATATGTAGTTGGGTAGATAAGTGAGTCGCGCGCGCGCAGCTACTTTGACATACTTAGACCTATTATCCTGTTGTAATTCCACCGTACCTCAGGTAAAAATCTCTCTCTATTTTATGTGAAACCAAACACAAAGCCTTGTTACCATAATATGATATGGAAATAATTTTTGCAAATTGGGAGAATTCAGAAATGCCTTCTCTATTGAATACAAACTAAGTCTGCGTAATACTGGACAGTTTTAGAGAATACGCTCAATCTTCTCCTCTTCATCATAGCATCATCATACCTATCAAAAAGTAATCTCGTAGTTTAGCTGATAATTAATACACTCCAATGGTTGTTAATGGGGACATGTTTTATCTCAGACGAAAAGATTTTTGTATGCACATAACTAATTCTTTTATATTCTTTCGCTTATTATGGGGTTCTAGTTAAGTTTCGTAGCAATAATGTGACTCAAATTTCTTACGCTCGATATTTTTTAACTTGGGAAAGAAAAAATTTGGATTTTTATAATATATAGTAAAGTGAACAATCGCGTCTTTTGTTGGGAAGGCTCGCAATCCCGAGCTTATCTAGAGAGTCTGAATAAAGACTGAGTTATAAGATCGAAAATAGATTTAACTTTACTCCATTTTTGATTTGATTTCGAAATGGAGATGTCTGTAAAGTAAGTCTAAATAGAAACTGAGTTAAAAGATCGGAAAATAGATTTAGCTTTGCTCCATTTTTGATTTGATTTCGAAATGTAGATGTGCATAAAATTTTAATTGTTTTTTATTATATTTAAATCTATAAATAGGAATAATTTTGTGATAGCATATTTATGCCATTTTTGATTGCTAAATCTCGAGCGAATTGCATAACATTATTATGAGATTATTTTACAACACTCTAGATATTTAGCCAGAGTAGCAAAATTACACTGAAATGAACAGCTGTTTTTTATACTTTACAAAAAATGTGTGATTTGATTTGGTATACATATATATTACTGGAAAAAAATAAATTTCTACTAATACTAATACAGATATGTCAGATGAATCTATAAATTTTATAGATCGAGAGTAAATTTAAATTGAATCCAGATTTATCGATCGAAAACGCCATTAGTAATTTATTGATTTATTAATATATTTATTGAACATTGTAGAACTTTATAAAAATATTGTGAGGCATATATATGGTAATATAAACATTCATTTACAATTTTTATGTCGTCTACTTGACAATAGTATTATTCACTTATTCTCAGGCCACACTGCCTGTATAGTAGTATATGCAGCCCACTCTTAGTTTTAAATTCTACTCGAGGTGTTGCGTGAACAATAACTTTCAATAAATTCACTGGATGCGTATCTTACTTGACATCTATTTTAATTTTATACAACACAATAAAACAAATCCAGTTATAACAATTGTCTCTAGTTGATTATTTTGTATCTCTAGTTGGTATTTATCTAAACATGTGTAACTTTTAAATTTTTCTTTAAACTTTAGTAAAATAAAATTAAACACCCTGTAAGAAATCAATTTTGGTGATAAAAATATTTTACGACGTTACTTCAGTCTGAGCAATTACTACATATTTTGAAATTCAGAGATCTGAAACTTAAGTTTGTTTATAAGAAGCTTTCTCTCCAATTGCAAAAAGCTTTTGAAATAATTTTGACTACAAATGATAATCACAAACCACACCTTCAGTGCAGTTAACTTTCGTACGTGATGTATCACAGTTGATTAAGTTCAAAATGTTTATTTACTTAGTTTTATTATTAATCATATATACAGCGTATTTGCTTAATGGATGGTTGAAAAAAACGTTCACGGTTTTTGAAAACCGTGGAGTGCCGCATAAGAAACCGGTGCCGTTTATAGGAAATGCGTTGGATTTTTTAAAAGGAAAAGAATCTCTGCATAAAATTATGATCAGATTGTATAGACAAACTAAGCAGCAGTAAGTATCTAATAAAAATTTTTCAATATATTCTTTTATATATTACTATAATTTTAAAATATGTTTGAAAGATTATTTTAATATATAATTATATAATAATAATAATAAGCTTAACAAATTATTACTGCTAAAATAAATATGTATCTTTCAAGTGTGATTTTTAAATGTGTAGCAGTCAAAACAAAAAATCTTTACTATTTAAATATATTAAACCATCTGGTTAGCTCATTATGTTGATTGTTTAATATTTTGAACACTTCACTTTAAATTTGTTAAAAAAAAAAAATAAATAAAAATTAAGAAATAAAATAAACAAAAATTAAAGAATTAAATTTTTGGAAAATAATTAGATCATCATTTTGTAGGTTCCTTTATAATTTTATCTTTGGCCATAAAAGTTGAAAAATAGCAATATTTAATTCGAACCTGACCTATACCAAATATTTTTAGTATTTTTTTTTTTAATGTGAACATCATTTTTTTTTACTAATTGTTTTAATCAAAATGTTATGTTTTAAGTACATAAATTTCTCTTTCAGTATCTACAAATACTATTTATGTATTAGTATTTTTTTTAAATGCTTATCAAATAACAAATTGCAATGGAGTTATAGATTGTTTTGTTTATCTTTAAACCACTAAATTTATTTTTGGACAAAACATATGCACATTATTAAAAAGCTTTTTTCAAACAAATTCAAATTTTTTAAGAGTTTCTTTTTTTTTAAAGAAATACAAAAATGCAAATATTTAAATTCTACAAACATTTAACAATAATAAATAAACAAATTTAATTTTGAACGAAACATATGCAGAACATGAAATAATAAAATAAATAAAGAAAATAAATATTTAAAATTTGCAAACATTTTTTTGACGTACTGTACTGTAGTTTCTTCACAATTAATTAATACTAACGATAATATGACAGTCACTTGCATTCAGAGCTGTGCATTATTTAAAATAAATAATTAATTTTTTTCCATATTTATAATTATGTATTAAATTATAATATTTATATAAATAGGATATTTATATATTATTATAAATATTATAATTTTAAATTTTAAACATTTAATAATTTATAAATAATTATAAAATAATTTATAAACAATTATGTAAAAGTGGAATAAATATATAAATTATTTTATTAAAAAGGGTTAATATTATAATCGTTTATTATAATCGTTTTATATATTTGGCAATATTTTTGAATGGAATATTAGATAAGATTAGGACACTGTAAACTAGGGAACCATGCTAGAAGACTAGGTCTTCCTTTCAACCAAATCTGTCGTAGCTGTGGGGAGGACGATGAGAGCGCATCTCATCTTTTGTGTTTTTGTCCAGCTCATGCACGTCGGCGATTTAGTACTCTAGGAGCCCCCTTCCTTGAGGACCTGGACCAGTTATAGGATCGGGCTTTAAATAGCATTTTATGCTTTGCAAAAGGTTCTAGGTGGTTTTAAACCCTCAGGTTTTTATTATTTATATACGGCATCACAATGGGCCAAAAGGCCTAAGTGGATCCACTAGGGATCACCGGTATAACCTAACCTAA